CCTCACCTGATCGCGTCATCCATGTGAACGTGCCTACTAACTTGAACCATCTTCTGAGCGCCGGACAAAAAAAAAGTAACAAGACGCAATAATAACTACATATTTTTTTTTACATATAAAACCGTGCCAGCAGGAATAATAGTGAAGCTCGGGGTTGCTGTCAACGTTTATGGCACATATTTTTTTTTTATATTCCTCTGCCTATTGCTGTTGCGGCGCCTCTTGTTTCATGTCTAGCGTTGCATTGGCACGGCAGATTCACCTCAACCACGACCAAGACTCACTGAGGCAAATTAGGACACATTAAAAGTTCTCCATCTGGCGGAAGACTCCCCTAAAAAAGAAAAAAAAAAAACAATTCCCAGTCTAAGCATTTTGTTTTACCTTCTCCAGACCCTCACGGTGCCTCCAGGTGCAGAGACAGTCATGTGGGTAGAGGGTGGGAAGGTAAAGCACCTCATCCGATTTTGGAGTGCGTGTACGCTTCCATTCGCTCAGCCGGGAAATGAGTGCCAGATAAACCGTAAGGTGGTTAATGGCGTAATTGTAGCCAACACATCGATGCGGGCCAACACCGAAGGGGATAAATTGCTTGGCGAATTTTCGATCTTCTTGGCGTTCCGGCCCCATACGATCTGGATCGTACTGATCGGGCTTTGTAAAGCCCTCGCGGCAGGCCCCCACAAGGGATGGGATAACCAGGCTGCCTTTGGGCACCGTGTAATGCTCGTCAATGACAAAGTCGGAATGGGCCTTCATAGGCACCATTGGCGCAGGAGGAAACAGACGGAGTTGCTCCAGAACGCATTGCCGGGTAAAAGTCATTTCCTGCACCAGATCATATGTCAAAGGCTCGTCCCCCGCACACAGTCTCTCTTGCTCCTGACGGACGCGTCCCAAAACATCGGGCCGATCCGCCATTGTGGCCGTGATCATAGTGAGACTTGCGGTGGATGCATCCTGTGAAGCAAACAAAAAATCCAACATTGTATCCGCCATCGCGTGATCAGACGTAAATGGCGGTGGATCTTCACCTTCATCCGCACAGGCCTTCACGGTCTCCAGTATGGTCGCCGTCCAGAAATCAAGCAAGCAATGAGCCTCTGCATCTGGGAGCGACATACGAGCCTTGCTCCGACCCACAGCCGCCTTAAGCTCATCCACGACCTTTTTCCGCGCGTGAACCGCCTTGTACAGGGCTGTGCCGGGAAAGTAGATGGGGGGAGAAAGGAATCCAACCGTTATAACATTGTAATTAAAAGTAAACTCCTCACGGTTGCGAAGGTGGTCGCCAAGGAAGACTGTTTGGGAAGTTTCGCAGTTCATTTCACGTATGTGGTTCCGCATTTCCTCAGGTTTGCCTCCAAAGGGGTACTTCCTCACCCACTCTGCCAAGTGCTCGCGAATAAGGCGTTCCTGAATGGGAAGATACAAAGAAAGCGCCTTTGTCGTGAAGAGGTTCATGAAGCTCGCGCGAAGTGCCTTGTGCTGGGGGCCGCTTTGGAAGGCTATGTTGTTGTCTCCAAGAATAACCCTCCCGTTGGGATGCAGCTGAAGCGTCAGCGTACTGTCACTGTTGGTGGAAAATATTTTGTGGCACAAGTCAGCACGAGTGACGAAAAGCACAAACTGGGTGAGAATTGCCTGCCAGCTGTACCCATTCGGGCTGTAGAAGCGCTGCTTCTCCCAAAACGTGAAGGGGTCCTTTATCATCATGCCCAACCCACCGAGGAGCGGGGTCACAAAGGTTGGGCCCGGCACAGAAAATTTGTGCTTACTGGCAAAGTAGAACATCGTCAGAAGGTACGCCAGTCCGTACGTCACGAAAAGAAGAAGGGCGACCTCGGCCAGATACGGCATCTGTACCCCCAGAACGGTGTTGATCACGGTCATTGCGGTACTGCTAAATGCAGCCTTGAATAGTTTTTGAAGGTAAATCGGGATGACTACGCGGCAAAGCCAAAAACAACAAGAACAACAACAGCCAACCAAGCAAAAAAAAAAAAACAAGAAGAAGTGTGGAACAGTTTGAAGGTGTGCAGAACAAACCCCAACGTGAAGTGGGGGAGTGGGAATGATTGGAGGAAATAAGGAGGAAAAAAGAAAAGAAAGGGAGGAAGGTAGGAGGCGGATGAGGCGAAACCAGCAAAAGTAGGCTGGTAAGAATATCAACAAACTCTGGTTTGCTTGCTCTTCTGCTCTTGTTGAGGCAAATGTTGACACTTGCTCACACGATGCATTCTCTTGTAGCCCTGCCCCGCCCACTGGAACTTCGAACCCGTCGTTGCCTCATGGCGAAAGAAAGCCAAGATCGCCTTCGCCTCTCCCGTACGCCGCAGTTGTGTCAGGCTCAGCACCACATGTGAAAAGCAGGTGAGGGCTAGAGGCGTCATCCGATCACTGGACGCCACCATGCGTCCTTTGAGCTCAACCCAGTTTAGACCGTCCTTAGAAAGCACGAGGGCGTTGCGGCCGTCGCCGTTGTGCAACGGTCTCTCCTGCAAGTGCAGACCAAATAGCTCAACAAAGCAACGAAGCGCACGCATCACATTCCGCAAGGCGACCTCGTCAGTGGCACACTTTTCCACCTCGCCCCACTCGTATTTTTCAACAGGCGTTGGCGGCGAGGAAAAGAGGACGGCCGGAAATAAGTAACGAAACAATTCCGGCGTCTTCACGTTGTCCGTCTCGGCACTGCCCTCGCCAACTTGACCCTTCTCCTGTGAACAAGCACCATTCAAATGGTCAAACGCCGCGACAATCAAAGGCCACCACCGATTGCATTCACCCTCAAAAAGGTTTGAGACAAAGAGCGTGTGGGCCATGTAACCAGGGCCAAATTGCAGCGTCACAGCCGGAGGGAACGGCAACGCATTAGTCAGAACCGCATGAAACTCATGCTGCTGCGACAGCTTAGCGGATCTAATTCGGCCCTTTTCCACCATTCTCTCCTTTGCTCTAAGCTGGCGCAAGTGTCGCTTTTCATCTCGCTGTTTTCCACGGGCCAGCCTCGACTGTGGACCTAAAAGACGCTCCTCCAGACGCAGGTTCAGGAGCTCCCGCGCCGCTCTCCGGTTGAGCCAGTAGGAAGGAAATTTGCTAAACTTTACGACAATTCCGGTTGGTTCATGCTTCACGATAGCCGTCTGCATTCTTCGGTTAGTTGCCTGACCCCCGGGACCACGACCAAGCGTGCTCTGCTCGCACAGATCCTCTTCCCTGAAGAAGTAGCGTCTTTCAAAGAGATGACTCCGGTATGTGGGCAGGCCCGCGGCGCGTCGCGCAGAACGACGGGCAAGCCCGCGCAATATATCGAGCTTATCGCGAGGGTGCAAACTGTCAAACATCGCAGCCGACTCCGTCTTGGGACGGGACTTGAGCGAGGCAATGAGGCCACGGACATACTTTGTCCGCCCTGCAGTGTTCTCGGCGGAGTATCGTCTGCGACTCGGGCGTCGTTCGAACGTTTGTTTCCCGTCGTGCGCAGAGGCTGCCAGGGAATCGTTAGAGGAGCCCACGTCCCCTGTGGAGCTGCACAGCCTCCGATGCAACGCCGGCAGCAACCGACTCCCCACATTGCAGCCTGCCATCCAGAACCTCGTCATCATCACCTACGACAGAGAGCGGAAACGGGACCCAACAGAGCATACATCAGAGCGTCTACCGAAAGACGCGGTTTTTTTGTTCGCTTGTGTGCGCGTTTTTTTTGTTATTGTTTGCATGCGTGTTTGTGTGTATTTAAACAAGCGAGAAAAAAGTAATAACTCAAACACCCAGTTACCCAAGTTACTGAAGACCATACGGCATGTTCTGCCGAGGGCCCTCCTCCGGATGCCGCGGTTTCTCCAGCTCCAGATCCGGAAGCGCAAAGTCCTGCATCTCGTACTGGCGGTCGAACGGTCCTGTTCGGGTCAAGACCTTTCGCTTACTCCACTTATCTACAAATATGCCACTCTGTGGAAACGGCCCCTTCCAGGGCGGAAGAGAATCCTTCAGCGCTATGTCGTTGTAGTGTTCTCCAAAGAGCTCATTCGTCCCGCCACGGTAATTGTATACGTGCTGGTAAAACTGCTTTCGCCACTCCCAGCCTGCCTGTTCGGAGTAAAGGCCGTTGTGGGAGACAAGGATAACGTCGTCGGACTTGCGTGGCTTTTGAAAGCCATACATGTCAGCGAACTCGTCCGCGGTGAGTTGAAGGGCGTACTCCACCTCGTCCCTGGGCAGCCACCAGCTGTGAGGCACCCAACGATGCATCTTGAGCGGGGAGGTTCTACAATCGATAATGTACGTATACGGCTCTGGGTGCTGCACCAGCTGAAGCATGTCTTTGAGAAAGACTTGATGACAAAGCAGGTGATGGAAATGTGCATACTGCTGCCGCTCGTACAGAAACTTATGGCGATCAAAGTACCACGGCTGATATTCCTTCGGATGCCAGTTCATCCACTCGCGCGGATTGATCTGGCCGTCGACCATCATGTGATGTCGGGTGCGCCGATCCGCCTGCCGCCTAATGCACGAAACAAGCATATCGGTGCCCACTACTACCCACAAACTCTCCCCTTCAACGATACTGCCACCGCGGCACACAGACGCAAAGCAACAACAAAAAACACAATAAGAAAAAACAAACAACAGAAAGACAGAGAGATAAACTAAGAAGAACGCCACGAGTCCACGCAAGAAACCCAGCCAGTGGCTGTCGAACGAAACAAACGCTCAATGAACGACGGACCACACCCAAATCAAGTTCTGGCATCGCACTTGCAGGGTATATCCTCATCCCAACCTTCATTGGGGGTTCTTTTTTTTTTTTGAAAAGTAAATTAGTTTACGCTGGTGGGGAATGCCTGTTACCATGCAACACCCACGAGGAAAGAACCAAGAAAAAAAAAGGAAGAGGGGGAAGGGAATAAACCCAGAGAAGGTAAGCATAGAAAACAAAATATTTACTAGCG